CTAACTTGTTTAAGGAAAACTGATTTTGCCTCGCCTTTAAAGGCATTTTTCATGTGGTTATTTGTATTTACATATGCGGTATTTGTTTTTTTTTTGTTTTTTTTCTCTCCTCTGTCTTTTTCTCCCCTCCTAAGTTCCTTTCTTCTATGTTCCCCTTCTCGAACGAGCAAGAAGACGTTGTTTTCCTATAGGCGGCAGTTGTCGACTGATACCTCCGTATTTCCTTTGTGTCACCTTGTTTTTTGTGTATACAAACCAAATAATAAATAATGACGCATGCATCAAAAGCCGCGCTTTCCTCAGGCTTATTTCCTTGGTGATATGCCTCGCAGGTTAATGGCTTCATTGCTACGTTTACCGTGCTCTACCGCAAGGTAAGTAAATCATATTACAAACCTTAGTTAGTTAGTTGTTTAGTTATTTATTTAGTCAGTCAGTCAGTCAGTCATTTAGTCAGTCAGTCAGTCATTTATTTAGTCAGTCAGTCAGTCAGTCATTTAGTCAGTCAGTCAGTCAGTCATTTATTTAGTCAGTCAGTCAGTCAGTCATTTATTTAGTCAGTGAGTCAGTCATTTATTTAGTCAGTCAGTCAGTCAGTCATTTATTTAGTCAGTCAGTCAGTCATTTATTTAGTCAGTCAGTCAGTCAGTCATTTATTTAGTCAGTCAGTCAGTCAGTCATTTATTCAGTCGGTCGGTCGGTCCGTCGGTCGGTCGGTCAGTCATTTATTCAGTCGGTCGGTCGGTCGGTCGGTCGGTCGGTCGGTCGGTCGGTCGGTCGGTCGGTCGGTCGGTCAGTCAGTCAGTCAGTCAGTTAGTCGACATTGGGCAAATTCCATCCTTTGACACAACGTGACCAAGTATAGTAAGTTGGCGAGTCCCAAAGCGGCACTTCTTTAGGTTAAGCTGGAGGTTTGCCTTGGTAAGACACTGAAGAATGGTGCGCAGATGGTCGACGTGGGTAGGGAAATCAGGCGAAAATACGATAACATCATCGAGGTAACATAAGCATATCGGCCATTTAAGGCCGCGTAAAATGCTGTCCATCATTCGCTCAAACGTTGTAGGTTTATTGCACAGACCGAATGGCATAACCATGAATTCGTATAGGCCATCCGGCGTAACGAACGCTGTTTTGGGACGGTCACACTCTGCCATCGAAACCTGCCAGTAACCTGAACGTAAGTCCAGCGAAGAAAAGAATTCGGCACCTTGTAGGCAATCGATAGCGTCGTCGATGCGGGGAAGAGGGTATACATATTCCCGTGTAATTTTGTTCAGTCGCCGGTAGTCGACACAAAATCTAATCGAATCGTCTTTTTTCTTCACTAGCACAACAGGTGAAGACCAGGGGCTAGAAGATGGTTTGATGACACAGCGCTGAAGCATATCATCCACCTGCTCTGCAATTGCACTTCGTTCCTTGGGTGATACGCGGTAGGGGCGTTGCCGCAAAGGAGGGTGCGTTCCTGTGTAGATTGTGTGAGCGACGGTGTTGGTTTGACCCAGTGCCTTTTGAGGAAGGTCAAATGAATCTCGGAATTTATGCAGAAGGACTATTAGCTGGTCCCGTTGATCCGAAGAAAGCTTGCTGTCGATGGAACGATTGAAGATATCCGAGGACTAGTCATCCCGCGTAAAAAGAGGAGTAACGGCGTTCAGTTGAAGTTGATGGCCAGGGTCGTGGGACTCAATAGGCACAATAACGTTGTCATCAACAGGATGAACATAGCCCAGTGTTTCGTGAGTTCTTAAGGTGAGAGGGCATGAGCTAGGATTGCAAACGACAATTCCGGAAGTATCTTGGTGAGGTGGCAGAATGGCGTATGGCAGAGACGTACCGTGGCGGCGACTGAAAACGTCAGATGGGGAGAACACAATGGTAGAGCCGGACAAATCAGTGCGATTGACGGGGATAACGATGGCACTAAGAGGAGGAACATCAACGTCGGAAGCAACAAGAAGCTTGCCCAGATGAGTGCGCTCATTGTCGGTAGATGGGGCATCTGAAAACACAGATAATTCCACCTGCACGTGAGCGCAGTCAATTACGGCGTGGTGCCGTGACAAAAAATCCCATCCTAGTGTCACGTCGTGGGCACAAGTGGTCAACACGAGAAACTCGATGTGGTACAGGACGTCCTGAATGATTACTCTCGCTGTACATGCTCCGACTGGTCGAATAGGTTGCGTGCTCGCGGTATTCAGCAATACGTCGGAAGGCGGCGTCGTTACTTTTCGTATCCAACGGCAGAGTTTTCGACTCATCACAGATAAGGCGGCACCCGTGTCAACAAGCGCAAGAGTTCGTAGACTTTCAACAAACAGTTCCAGAACGTTTGTGGGGGACGGGTGAGGACTTCTACAATGCGACGATTTCGCAGCTCGTGCCTCCGGAGCTGCGGCAGTCAGTTTTCCGTCTCTGCGGGGTTCGGTCGGCGACGCAGCGGGGACGGAGAACGGTAGCGGCGTGGTGATGATGAGCGACGGGGACCAAATGGTCCGTAGTCGGCAGCAGGGTGGTGGTCTATTTCGGATGGGGACTGGTCGCGTTGCACTGATTGTCGGTCGCATTGACGTTGCAGTTCTCGTTGCGCGTTGTACGGGGCCAGTAAAAAGTAGTCAGGGTACCTTGGAGGTGCAGCCGGGCCCGTTGTGAAGCGCCGGTGACAGAAGCGCGCCACGTGACCTGGATATCCGCATGCATAACATATTGGACGATTGTCAACTGTGCGCCAAGGGTTTCCGTGATAGCGCTGTTGTGTTGCTGGAACTGGCGTCGTTGGTACTCGTTGAGGCTGGGGAGTCGACCGAAGTGGAGGTCGTGGTGGAGTAGCAGCAACAGCAGCGTAAGTCAATGGTGCGGTGACAGGTGTTGTCTGAGAGACGGGCGGCAGTGCCTCAGAGACCTGCGCCTGTATTACCTGTCTAATGGCGGGCGCGAGATGCTCAGAAGAGGGTTCCGTTGCCGGTTGATACGACAGACACGAAAGTTGTCGCGCCACCTCCTCGCGCCCATATCGTTTGATTTCCGACATGATTGTGTTGTTGTATCCACCTAGGGTCAATGCCGCGAGAGTTTCGTCGGTAGCCGCTGGCCGCCGTGTCATGACCCGTTGTTTGCGCAATTTCTCGAAGCTCTGGCAAAGAGTGGCGAGTTCGGACACGGTACGGGGGCCCTTGGCCAGCAGCATCTGGAAGGCGTCGTCGTCTATCCCCTTCAAGATGTGTTTGATCTTGTCTGCTTCGATCATAGAAGTGTCAAGGAGCTTGCACAAGTCGAGCACATCCTCGATGTAGCTTGTGAAGCCTTCCCCCTGAAGCTGTGTGGTTCCCCGTAGGCGCTGTTTGGCACGGAGCTTGCGTACCTCGGGGCGACCGAACACATCGGTAATGCGTAGCCTAAAGGCACCCCAAGTGGCGAATTCCGAGTGGTGGTTGTTGAACCAGAGACTCGCCACCTCTTTCAGGTAGAAGGGTACATATTGAAGCTTCGAAGGGTTGTCCCACTTGTTGCTTGCGCCTACCTTTTCAAATGTCGACTGCCAATCTTCTACGTCTTGCTCATCGGTACCGTCGAAAAAAAGTAGATCACGCACACGTAGCGAAGTGGGCACGATGACCATCGGAGGCTGGGTCGTACCTTGCTGGGTGGTTCCTTCAGCCATTTCTGGGATGGCAGGTAGTTTCCTGTTGCGGAGTTCCAGGTTGAAGTACCCAGCACCTCCACCACTCTGAAACGGGGTTTATTGGCACAAGTAGCACTTGCACAGTAGGTATATTGATGCGGAAAGCGGGCGGCAGCAACGGACTCAGGAATCACAGCAATCGGGGCAAACGCTCGCGCTTGGCTCCTTTTGCTAAAGGCGTGACCCACTGCGGCACATATTCTTCTTCCTCTCTACATTTGTAATGTTCGCTCTTAAAGTAATACCAGCCGCTTCGAAAAATTGAAGTCAAGAATCAAATATATGCAATCTATTCCAACCAAACCATCAGTGTTATCTTTTTTCTAAGCAACCCTCGCATGTATAAATAAAGGACGAACAACCTTCGTTGTTAAATCATATTTACAGGAACAGGCAAGAAGATGTGTTTGTGATTCACTAGACATTTTGTTGCACTGAGCAGTAGACCTATAGCTACGGAAGCAGTAGACCTAGCCCCCTTCCCACACCCCCCCCCCCCTCTCCACCCAAAGTCCAACCGAATTTTTATCTCATGTATAATATATGGCGGTAGTATAGTAGAACAATATAGGATATAATGGGCTCCCCCATCTGTTCTCGAACGTAGCACGTAACTTCTTTCTCTCAGAATATCCAACGATTTTCAGAGAAATAATGGCACTGCATGAGAGGCATGGAACTGTTTGGATTCTGAGGAAGAACATTGCAAGCAAATTCCACGAAAAAGAGGTGTTTTCTTCCATCAGAGCTCTTCTGAATTCTCCGAATGAAATGTTTGCCGCAAACTAGGGCTTGGCACGGCACGACTAAAGCAATCCGCAGCTGCTTTTATTAAAGGCCTAACTGCGCAGAACAGTCGTAGAACATTTGACAGATGGTGGGTAACCAATGTTCTCTTGCTTCAAACAATGTATTGGAGAGGTCAAGGTTCGTACGAAACGCCAGTGAAACAGCTGAGTCACACTCACGAATGCATTTGATGAACCTTTTTCGCCACTCGTCTTGACGATGCCTTCATCTCGTCATGAAAGCTTCAGTTATTCTAATGCAAAAACGTTCTATACCAGTGCTGTCATTTCTTCTGCTCACCGTGGGTGTTCAGTTTTCTGTCTATCATGTTGGGCTTCGCTCTTCATCGACGAGATGTGGAGCCACGAGTAAGGCGGTAAAATTTGAATACGTCACGCAAACCTGGAGGCATTGTGACCCAACCACCAACCAGACCACCGTACTCATCAGCGTCACTTCGAGTGCAGATCACTTCCAGAATCGAATGGCGATACGCGACACATGGGGAGGCACGGCCCTCAAAATGGGCTTCGTCGTAGTCTTCCTGTTGGGGGCGACACCGGACCAGGATGTACAAAGAAAAGTGCTGGCAGAAAACGATATTTACGGTGACGTCGTCCAGGGGGACTTCATCGAGAGCTACGAGAATCTCACCTACAAGACCGCGATGATGATTCGTTGGACTCGAGCAAAATGCTCAAAGGCTGAATTCGTGCTCAAGATCGACGACGACATGATCCTCAGTGTGTGGGACTTTGCCGTCATCTTGAAAGGTTTGGAAGGAATCAAGCACTCAATGTGGGGCTACTTGTACCGTCATCACGGACCCAATCGCAACGTATCTTCCAAGTGGTATGTGTCTGAAGAGGAATACGCGCCAGATACATATCCAGACTTCCTCTCTGGCACAGGCTATCTGATTTCGGGCGACGCCATTTCAGCCCTGGATGACGTTATCCACGACGAGTGCTTCTTTCCTCTGGAAGACATCTATTTGACCGCCATTGTAGCTGAGAGGGCACAAGTAAGACGTTTGCATATGAATGGCTTCTCGAATGAACACATCTGGTACTACCAGCCATGCTCAATCCCGAGAGTTGTGACATCGCATGGCTGGAGCCCAAGAGCCCTGAGAGAACAATGGAAGTTTGCAGTCGACCGCTTGAACTTTACACTTTGCGTGGGAATAAATAAGCACCAGATGGTGTCCTAGGAATCCGTACCAGATATTGTCGTTCTTAGGAGGGCTAACTGGTTCACTAACACTGTGGCAAACTCCGAAATGAGACTTTGCATGAAGAATCAAACTTTTTCTTTGGGGAAAGGCAGAAAAAATACAGGCAGCTGAACAATTGCGACAAAAAAAAAGCGCAATACAAGACATTTTATATTGACTGACCTTCACGATTGGTTTCACCATCAGTTTTGATTAATGTTTACATGAAGCTCGGAAACGAAAATTTTATGGCATTGTAATTACAACCAAAAACAAAAAAGACCATGGCTTGACCGTTGGTACAACACTGATTAAAAACTGCTTGAACCAGGAAATCATAAGTCAACAAAGGCCAAGAACCAAAGTATAAAAAATGTTTGTAATCAAATGACACGTCTAAAAGAAACTGCAACCAGAGGCAACGTAACGACCACATAAGCATGTTGAAAACAAACTACGTGAGCTGAAATGAGGTTCAATGTTGCTATTTTTAAGTGCTACAAATGGCATAATAACGCACGCTGATAATTTACCAAGGGCACACATAATGCGCAAGAAGGGAGGAGCTTGTATTAGATCGGCATAAGTAGAACGCCTTGACAAAAAAGCTAGACACCTTGAGTCTCATTTAATATCATGCAATTCGTTGTCAACTGTTTTTACTTTGATTTTTATTGTTCCTGGAATGATTTATTTGTACTCTACGGGCCTAGTAAGACCATGCGAAGAACTACTCAATGTGTGCACGTGAGCACAACTACTCACTTTACACGATCATGTCTATCTACCTTGTAATGCTTGACGCACAGCTCAGGCTACTACTCACCGACTTCCTCGCATGAAATCGATTCAGACAACTCGTGGGATCCGCCCATTTTTTAAAACTTTATATATAATTGCTTATTTAGTAGTGTACAACAATCAATATTCTTTTGCACATTGCATGCTTCGTTGTTCAAGCCGAAATTATATGGTGTTTTGTTAGCGTTTGTAAATTAATTCTGTTTCTTACTGTTGTGCATGCTGCAACCTCCTTTCATGGCTTTGGTGTCATGTTAGGTTCGCAGTACATTTAAAAAAATATTTTATAGTAACACAGACTAGTGTATGACCTTCCTTTGCGCCATGACCCTTCGACAGCCAAACATCACTCAGAAATGTGCTATAGGTTGTTATATGGTGGATTTGGGACGCTCAACCCCACATATCAATCATTAATATGCTGGGTCGATGATTTCAAACTAATTTGGAATTATCCGTTTACGAACTATTAGTACTGCACGACAGCTATAATAAAGCTATCTATGACCTCCACGATCGAAAGCATTCGTATAGGAAACATCAAAAGTCATAGACTATGATTAGCAGTCACCCATGTGCTGAAAGCCTGGCAATCCATCGAAGCCCGTTGGACGCAAGAACTGCTAAGGAACGAATCAACTTAACTTTAACAATCTAACTGTATAGAACGGAAAATCTGGGCTTCTGCGCGCGAACACCGAAATATGTTTGTAAATTGTGCTGTAGTTCTAAACTCCGGAATTATTTCGACCACCCATGGGGTTCTCTGACGTTCATATAAATTTACGTATGCAACTAAGGTTGCATGGCGGGCTTGTTGATTATTCATGATGTTCAAGGAATAGCGCATCTAGGGCGTGACAGAGAAGAAGACACAGAACACATACACGGCACTAACTTTCAACAATGCGGTTTAATCCGAGAAACAGCAATACTTATACCCAAACAAGGCGCGTCGCAACCACGTGCTAGAACCAGAAAATTGTGATCTATTGCAACTCATGCGACGTCCAAATAATGCAATTTTTTCAATGGTAATGATACTGATGGCTTGCTTATACATGCGTCCCCAAACTTGGCAATGAATTTCGCTTCTATAATGAGCCTTGTTATTTGGTTAGTGCTTCTTCCGATTATGCTGGTGCGATTAAAGATGGGTTGGCACCCGCATTATTTGCAGTGAATTGCAAGAAAACCCTCAGGCTGTGCCTTGGCCACGTTATTCTTGTGTTAGTTCAGCCTATCACAGCTATATAGGCCAAACCGGTAGATGCATCAATGATGCATCTACACTCGCGGCTAAGTCCACTCGCGGCTAAGTGTACCTCGCTATTGCCACCGTCTGGCTGTTTGCGGCCACGTCCACTAGGGAGATGCGGCAGCACATGCACAGCGATGGCTGCGTCCGTCACGTTGACTGTTTACTTCCAGGTACAGTTGCATATGTGTAGGTGAGTTGTTCTCTATTTATTCAAGATGGCATGTGACACAGGTGCTACTTCCACAAAGACAACGTGGTCCGAAGATGAGAAACAGGCGCAAAAATACCATATATACGTTGTGCTACAAATCCGTCAATCGCCACTGCCATCGTTTCCAAAGTACACTTCGCTTCCTCGCGTAGCAGCGAACCGCCAAAATGACACCTCATGAGTGTAAGTACACTCGCTCAAAGTACACTTAAGTTGCTACGTGTGACAGGGGTACAAGCTTTCTGCGTTCAAGGTGATTTGCATTACACCAATATAAATATGCTAATACAGGGACTCAGACGGACGAGTTCCTGGCTTCCTGCGTCCATTCTATGTAGCATTGTTTCATTGGGACTAGTGAAGACAAGCCAATCAGCAATATTTATTATTTTTCCACGTGACGTCATGAACGCAGCTTGTGAACATGCTGGCACTGCGCGATGGCGGCTTTGGTGACAAACAAGCTGCTGTGGTTTACATGCCTCAATGTGATAACGACGTGGAAAGAACGCCTCTCAGCGCGAATAATCTGCATGTGATGTTTTGATAATACTTACGTGATCGCCAAAGTCACGTCCTCTAATGCTGGTGCTCCGATACGACAGGTTTCAGCGACGTCGTTATACTGCCAGACATCTATGTGTCCAGCGTTGCTCCGGTAAACAGCGAGCGTCATATCCACGTTTTACAACATGTAGACGTGCGCTGCGCGATTGTTTGACCTTCACGTTCCTCTTTTTGGAGACCATGTCACCCAAGAGCTGCGTTATGTGCTGCCAGTGTAAACACCACTGGCCCGCAAAGCTTGACATCGTGGGAGCCATGTCAGGTAAAAGGCGAGCGGAGTCCTAGTTTGGTGGTGCTATGAGCGTCGGGCTCACGCTCATAGCACCAAGATTTACTTCTCTGCTGCTGCAACTCCGTACCTAGGGACAAGACCACAGTGGTGAAGTTTACGCTTATCACTGATAGTACTTGAATACTTTGTTTTTTTTTTCTCCATCGTTGGTTGTTTGGAGATTGTAGGAGTACATGAGAATATATAGGGGCTGGCTGGATGCGTTTCCGCAACAGGTGAAGCATATATCAACCAATGAGAGCTGCTTCGTCTCCAATGTACGACGGCGTGCTGCCGTCAGTTGATTACAAAAGCAACGGAGAAGCTAGCGCAGCTTAACTGGTTGACTGCAGTCATCGCCTGCAGCGCCTGCGCGTTCATGCTCGCATTCACCTCCAGATACCATCGCGAAGTTCGAGAGGAAATCAAATGACGAGGATTCCACCTCGTTGGTGCAGCACAGCAGATTTCCTGCGATAAGTACTTACCCATGCGCCTCCGAATTTAATGCCTCGTCGAGCAGTGTCCCGTGGTAGAGATCGAAGATTTTCGAACGAGTGAAGCACACAGGCTACTTCCCCTTGTTTTATTTTAAGTACCAAAATACGTAAGCTACAACAATGTTGTTGCCTGCACTTTCTTTCCTGTAATTTTCGCTTTCATATCGGTGTATTACAATCGCTCCATGAGAACGCAGCTTGCCGTAGTCGAGTCTCTGGCTCGTTGTCTATCTCGGCCCAGACACAGCATTTTAGTTGATATGATAGGAGACCTCTACGTGTTACAAATGTTATCACGAGCGTTGATGTCTCATCACCTCAGGAGGAATCATCATTCACTGTTTCCTCGAACTGTTCATAAGACATGTCTGAACACTTTTTCTGTATTCGTTTCAAGGACTCACAAGCAAGGCTTCCGTTACAACTAGATATTTCACGTGAGAGGACGCATTAGATTTTTTAATGGTTCAGGCTGTGGAGTCACCGTATTGTGGCTGCGTATTGACTTCAAAGACAATGAGCAAAGTGCAGGTGGTCGTTTTCGCTGCTGCATCTCAATGGTCATAGGTTATTATTCAGAACAATTGTTGCAGGTTCCACCCCAACGTAAATCGTGGATAGAGATCGCGGCGATGGATAGGCAATGCTTGTCACAGAATCTGTTAACGAAGACTTTTAGCCACTCCAGCCTCAGACGGTGATGGGAGTGGCTCCCGAAAAGAATTTAGCAAAATATATATTTAGCCGTTTCGCACACCTCAGTTAAACAGGTACGTGTATACATTTTCGCTTGCTGCATAAAAACAAGTAGCACGTTCAGATGGTACTTCACTAAACATGAATACGCATGGAGCGCAAGTAAACGATTCAGGCTCAGCCGGCTAGCCCACCTCGGTGGTGTCGCAATTACAACGCTCAGCTGCTGGCCCAAAGGTCGCGGGTTCGACCTCGGCAGTGGCGGTGGCATTTTTATGGAGGTGAAATGTTACCCTACATTTACTACCCCGTTGAATGAACTATGCAGACTGATAGCATGATCTTTTTTATTGTTCTTTCATTTTTGTTTTGTTTTCATGCTTTTTTTCTTTCTGCAGGCTACACCTGAATACTTGCTGTTCCCTTCCAATAACAGTTTACTTGAAACTAGCGCTTGTCCAGCGTCATTCGCTGGTCTTACGTACGTGCAAGCAGTGGGATAGTCAGGGTGAACAGTGAAAGAGCCTCAGACAGGCTGGCCGACCTTTCGATAGGAGGACCTATGTCCTCCTAGCAAGCTAGATTAGCTAGCTAGCTAGCTAGCTAGATGTGCATGTAGCTAGCTAGAAAGCCAGCTACATGCACATATCACAACTTGTCAGCAGAGAGTGGTTAAATTACAGATAGCTGATCCTATTTATTTTTTACAGCAAAGCCTTTCTCGCCGAGTTTTTCATTTCCAGGATTCATGGTAACTCAGTGGTGTATTATAAATAGGTATGCGCCACAGACAATTGCTTAATCCCACTATCGACACCTAGTGAACTAAACATGAATGCAACAGTTAGCTCAACAATTGGTTATGTGCCACGGAAGTCTCTGGGATCTATCAGAAAACAATCGTCATAAACGCATATTTGCTGTAACATGGCTCTTTGTGGTTATAAGAGGCGGCTGCTATACTAACACCTCAAAGCTTAACAAAGAGTGTTTAGTAAAACATATCTGAAAGACTCGCAAGACATAGAAATTTGTTAGCCTACCGAAGGAAACACCTCTATCTTCTCTGTTTCAACGGTGTCCTGCGTGCTTGCACATTGGCATGTTTGCGCCCATACACATTTCTATGCACGAAACGATGGTTTCTTAAAAAGGTAAAGGAGACGGCAGTGGGGTTTATGCCGCTACATTGATCCTGTGAGGCACTATATACAGAACGCATCGTTTTAGAGTGTTCCCCATTCGTTGCGTAGTGAGCACTGCTCACGAAGGAATATGGACTTATGCTTCAGTGCAATGCCCTCGACAATTGCCTCTTCCCGGAAAGATGTGTTACTAGGCGTGATCAGGCCCATCGATCACTTCTAACCTGTTTAAGGAAAACTGATTTTGCCTCGCATTTAAAGGCATTTTTCATGTGGTTATTTGTATTTACATATGCGGTATTTGTTTTCTTTGTTTTTTTTCTCTCCTCTGTCTTTTTCTCCCCTCCTAAGTTCCTTTCTCTATGTTCCCCTTCTCGAACGAGCAAGAAGACGTTGTTTTCCTATAGGCGGCAGTTGTCGACTGATACCTCCGTATTTCCTTTGTGTCAACTTGTTTTTTGTGTATACAAACCAAATAATAAATAATGACGCATGCATCAAAAGCCGCGCTTTCCTCAGGCTTATTTCCTTGGCGATATGCCTCGCAGGTTAATGGCTCCATTGCTACGTTTACCGTGCTCCACCGCAAGGTAAATAAATCATATTACAAACCTTTAGTTTAGTCAGTCTGACCAGTCTGACCCGTCTGACCAGTCAGACCAGTCAGTCAGTCTGACCAGTCTGACCCGTCTGACCAGTCAGACCAGTCAGTCAGTCAGACCAGTCAGTCAGTCAGACCAGTCAGTCAGTCTGACCAGTCAGTCAGACCAGTCAGACAGTCAGTCAGCCAGTCAGTCAGCCAGCCAGCCAGCCAGCCAGTCAGCCAGTCAGCCAATCAGCCAATCAGCCAATCAGCCATTCAGCCAATCAGCCAGTCAGCCAATCAGCCAGTCAGCCAATCAGCCAGTCAGTCAGTCAGTCATTCAGTCAGTCAGTTAGTTAGTCGACATTGTTTGTAATGTTCGCTGTAATAGTAATACCAGCCGCTTCGAAAAATCGAACTCAAGGATCACATATATGCAATCTATTCCAACCAAACCATCAGTGTTATCTTTTTTCTAAGCAACCCTTGCATGTATAAATAAAGAACGAACAACCTGCGTTATTAAATCACATTTACAGGAACAGGCAAGAAGACGTGTTTGTGATTCACTAGACATCTTGTTGCACTGAGCAGTAGACCTATAGCTACGGAAGCAGTAGACCTAGCCCCCTTCCCACACACGCCCCCCCCCCCCCTCCACCCAAAGTCCAACCGAACTTTTATCTCATGTATAATATATTGTGGTAGTATAGTAGAACAATATAGGATATAATGGGCTCTCCCGTCTGTTCCCGAACGTAGCACGTAACTTCTTTCTCTAGAATATCCAACGATATTCAGAGAAATAATGGCACTGCATGAGAGGCATGGCACCGTTTGGATTCTGAGGAAGAACATTGCAAGCAAATTCCATGAAAAACAGCTGTTTTCTTCGATCAGAGCTCTTCTGAATTCTCCGAACGAAATGATTGCCGCAAACTAGGGCTTGGCACGGCACGACTAAAGCAATCCGCAGCTGCTTTCATTAAAGGCCTAACTGCGCAGAACAGTCGTAGAACATTTGACAGATGGTGGGTAACCAATGTGCTCTTGCTTCAAACAATGTATTGGAGAGGTCAAGGTTCGCACAAAACGCCAGCGAAACAGCTGAGTCACACTCACGAATTCATTTTATGAACCTTTTTCGCCACTCGTCTTGACCATGCTTTCATCTCGTCATGAGAGCTTCAGTGATTCTAACGCAAAAACGTTCTACACTAGTGCTAGCATTTTTTCTGCTCGTTGTGGGTGTTCAGTTTTTTTGTCTATAAAGTTGAGTTTTGCTCTTCGTCATCGATATTCGCAGCCACGAGTAAGGCGGTAAGGTTTGAATATGTAACGCCAACCCGGAGGCATTGTGAACTAACCACAAATCAGACCACTGTACTCATCGGCGTCGCTTCGAGTGCGGATTCCTTCGAGAGTCGGGCGGCGATACGGGACACCTGGGGAGGCTCGGCCCTCAAGATGAGCTTCGTCGTAGTCTTCCTGTTAGGGGCCAGGAAGTACAAAGAAAAGTGCTGGCAGAACACGATATTTACGAGGATGTCGTCCAGGGAGACTTCATCGACTGCTACGAGAATCTCACCTACAAGACCACGATGCTGATTCGTTGGACTCGTGCAAAATGCTCAAAGGCTGAATTCGGGCTCAAGATCGACGGCGACATGATCCTCAGTGTGTATGACTTGGCCGTCGTCGTGAACGGTTTGGAAGGATTCAAGCGCTCAATGTGGAGTTACTTCTACCGTGATCACGGACCCAATCGCAACGTAGATTGCAAGTTGTATGGGTCTCACGAAGAATACGAGCCAGATACATATCCAGACTTCTCTGGGACGGGATATCTGATTTCCGGTGATGCCATTTCAGCACTAGATGACGTTATCTACCCATGAGTGCTTCTTTCCTTTGGAAGACATCTATTTGACCGCCATTGTAGCTGAGAGGGCGCAAGTAAGTCGTTTACGTTTGGATGGTTTCCCGAACGAACACAGCTGGTACTACCAGCCATGTTCGAATCCTGAGAGTTGTGACATCGCATGGCTGGAGCCCAAGAGCCTTGAGAAAACAATAGAGGCTTGCTGTCGGCCGCTTGAACTGCGCACTTTGCGTGGGAAGAAATGAGCACCAGACGGTGTCCTAGGAATCGGCGTCAGATATTGTTGTTCTTAGGAGGGCTAGTTGGTTTACGAACATTGTGGCAAGTTCCGAAATGAGACTCGGCACGAAAAATCAAACGCCTTTTTTGAAGAAAGGTACAGAAAATGCAAGCAGCTGAACATAGACCAATAAAAAAAAGTACTAAACGACCCATTATGTATTCACTGACAATTTTGACTGCTTAAACTATTTTTGTTAAAGGTTTACATGATGCACACAAAAGCAAATTTCACCGAATTGTATTTATACCAAAAACCAGAAAAAATACCATGACTTGGCCGTTTGTACAACACTGAATAATAACTGCTCGAATCGGGAAGTCAAAAGTCAACAAAAGCGAAGAAGCAAAATGTAAAAAAAGGTTTGTAAACAAATGACATGTCTGAAAATCTGCCACCAGGAACAACTTAACGACAACAAAACCGTGTTACAGCAAAGTAAGAGATTTTAATTGAGTCTCAATGTCGCTATTTTTTTTCAATGTGCTGCCGATGACACGCTAACCCAAGTTGATAATTCACTAAACGTACAATAAAAGTGTGGCGGTTTGGGCAAGTTGGTATGACATAACGGCAGATATAGCGCGAAAACAGAACGACGACAGAGGGACAAGAGCGCTCGTCTCCTTTTTGTCCCTTTGTCATTGTTCTGTTCTCGCGCTATACCTATCATCAGATACACGTAATGCATAAGAAGGGAAGAACCCGTAATTGCTTGCCCTAAGTGGAACTCCTTGACAAAGAAATGAGATACCTAAAGCCTCCTTTACGACCATGCAACTTGTCAGATGTTTTTGTTTTGGTTTTATTGTTCCTGGAATGTTTTTATCGTACTCGAAGTGCCTAGTAAGGCCATGCACACAACTATTGAATTTGCGCACATGAGCACAACTACTCACTTTACACAATCACGTCGATTTACTTATTAATGCTTAGCTCAAAGCAAAAAATTCCGACACAGGCAGCTACTTGCTGACTTCCTTGCATGAGATCGATTCAGACAACTCGTGGAATCTGTCTTATTTTTAAAAACTTTTGGTACAGTTGCTTGTTCAGTATTGTACAACCATGAATAATCTTTAGAAGATTTCATGCAGCGTTTTTTGAGGGGAGACGGAGCGCAAAGATGACTAAAATGTGATTTTTAAATTGTCGTGGCACAATATCCCAGCATTACTGGCATGTGTGTCCACAAAGGGGCGTTTGTTTACGCGCAGTGGAAAGCATTTGAATATCACCCTAAACCTGCCTGATCCCGTGACTGCACCGCGGCAACTCGACCTTTAAATGACGTTTTCTCCGTACACTACTTTTTGTAAGAAAGCGAACATTTCCTCTGTGACCGCTGAAGCTGTCAAATGCAAACTTTTGTGACTTCTTTCTAAACATCTATCACGCACCCTTTTTGAAGCAAGATAATTTTGTTGCCACCAGAATTGTATTTTTACAAAATTTCTTTTAAAAATGTTCTAAAACTCTAGTCATAAAACATTTATATTTTGACGTAAAAAACGGTCATGCCAACAATTATTAAGTCCAATTGAGAAAGATACTCCGTGCACATGTAATAACCGCAAGACTTCATCATTTTACATGCAAAATTTGTTTAACAAAATTTTTTCATTTAATTAGTCAGATGATTTGTTTATTCTTTTTAAAACAATTTTAAATTTTGTTGCCAAATGAACAAAAGGTGCAGTAAAACTCCCATTTAAAAAACTTGCAATATTTTGTGAAGCTTGCTTTAAAAATGACACAGCGATGGGCAGTAGTAGTTACACAGCTGTCTGTGCTGTCCGTCCCCCTTAAGTCGACATTCTATGGCGCTTTGTTAGCATTTGTAAATATTTTTTTCTTGATGTTGTTCCCGCTGCAACCCACTTTTACAGCTTTGATCTCATATGAGGTTCACAGTATAACGAATAAAATATTTTAAAAATAACACAGGCTTGTATATGACCTTCCTTTGCGCCGTGACCCTTCGACAGCCAGACATCACTTATAGTATTCTGTTGGGCTGATGGGGATACCTAAATTTTCGAACTATTAACAGTGCAGAACAGCTGTAATATAGCTGTATATGGTCTCCACGATCATGAGGCATGTATAGAAATGTTTATTTTTCCGCAGAATATGTGTTTAGAAAAAGTAGTTAACGATTGAAAAGGTCATACATAGGTCAAACAGTCATACATACATATCAAAGGTCATACATAGGCTGCGATTATAGTTGCGAATACCCATGTGATGAAAGCCTGGCGATCCATGGAAGCCCGTCGCACGCCAAAACGTCTCAGGAACGAATGAACTTATCCTCAATAATACAAGCGTATGTAATGCAAATTCTGTGCTTTTGCGTGTGAACCGCAATGTATCTTTATGAATTCTGCTGTAGTTCTAAACTCCGAAATTATTTCGACCAGGAGGGGTTCTCTGACGTATGTTTAAGTCAAAGTAAGAAGGCTTTTTTGCTTTACACACCAATCGAACAGCGACCGCTGTTTTCGTAATAAAATATCAAAAACCACCTAACTATACTACTGTGGGTATAGAGCAAAATCCTTTGTATAAAGGGGCATTGAAACGGTTTTGAAGATTTCGTACAAGAGCATTCGGATGGTAATCAAGTCCTGTGCATATTTTGCAGGCCGAGTTAAGCTTTGTGATTTCAGTGTTATTTGCATTACACCAATACAAACATGCTCACAGAGTGATCCAGACGGACGAGTTTTTGACTTCCTGCGTTCATTCTATGTAGCATTGTTTCATTGTACGTAGAATAGGCGAGCAATCAGCAAAATTGAATAGTTTTCACGTGACGTCATGTACGCAGCTTGTGAACGTGCCGGCTCTCCACGGTGGCGGCTTTGGTGACAAACGAGCTGCTGTGGTTAACCTGATTCAATGTGATAACAACGTGAAAAAAAACGCCTCTGGGCGCGAATAACCTTCATATGATGTTTGGATAATACTGAGGTGACCGAAAAAGTCACGTCCTTCAGTGCTGGTGCTACAACACGACAAGTTTTAGGGACGTCACTGCGAGACATCTATATGTCCAGCATACGTCTCTGGAGCTCCGGTAAACAGCGAGCGTCATCTGCCTGTTTTACAACGTGCAGACCGCCGCTTCGCGTTCGTGTTGATCTTTGCATTTCTTTTCACGGAGACCATGAGCCGCCCAAGAGCTACGTTGTGTGCTGCCAACTTAGTGACCATTGACTCGCAAAAGCTTGACACCTTGGGAGCCATTTCAGGTAATTAGCTATTGGAATCCTCTATTTCGGTGGTGCTGTAAGTGTCGGGCTCACGCTATAGATCCAATTAGCGTGAGAATTTACTCTTCTGCTGGAGTAACTTTGCACCTGAAGACAAGACCAAATTGGCCAAGTTTACGCTTATCACTGATAATACTTTAACTACTTCACGATTTTTTTTCATCGGCGGCCTTTTGGAGCCTAGGCGTACATGAAAATAAAATGGGAATGGCTACTTGCGTTGTGGCACCAGGTTAAGTATATCTCAACTAATTAGAGCTGCTTCGCCTCCACAGCACGACGGCGTGCCGCCGGAATTGATTGAAAAAGCCACGGAGAAGCTAGCGCAGCTCAACTAGTCCACTGTGAAGCCATCGGCAGCAGCGGCTGCGCAATAAAGCTCGCATTCACCTTTAGATAGCGTCGCGACGTTCGAGAGGAATTCAAATCACGAAGTCTCCACGTCGTTGGCACAGCACAGATTGGCATGCCTCGGATTTGCATGCCTCGTCGAGCAAGGTCACGAAGTAGAGATCGAACATTTTTGAACGTGCGGAGCGCACAGGCTGCTTCCTATTGTGTTACTTTTGGGATTAGAATGCATTAGGTATAACGTTTTTATTGCCTTCACTTTCTTTTCACGCAATTTCTCCTTTAATTTCGTTATATTACACTGCTCCATGAGAACCGAACCTGCCGTAGCCTTGCCTCCGGCTCCTTACCTATCTCGGCCCAGACACGGTATTTTAGTTAATGTGATTTGTGGCCTCTACGTGATGCAAATCTTATTACGAGCGTTGATGCCTCGTCACCTCCGGAGGAATCATCATTCGCTGTTTTTGCTAATTGTTCAAAATACATGTCTGAAGGTTTTTTTTAATATTCGGTTCAAGAACTCATGAGCAGGGCTTCAGTTACAACTAGATATTTCCCGCAAGAGTACGCCTTAGTTTTTTAATTGGTTTAGGCTGAGGAGTGATAGTACTGTAGCTGCGTATTGCCTTTGAAGACAACAAGGAAAGCGCAGGTGGTCGTTCACGCAGCTGCATCTCAAAGGCCTTAAGTTATTATTCATAGCAATCGTTGTAGGTTCCACCTCAACGCAAATCGTAGATAGGGAACGTGGCGACGGATGTGCAATGCTTCTGTCGCGGAATCTGTTTCAAATTCAGGAGGGAAGGAAGGAAGGAGGAAGGAAGGAAAGGAAGAAAAGTCAACCAGACACGTTTATGGTTTTCTATCCTACGCTGGGGCAGCGAGAATAATTGGTTAAAAAGATAGAGCAATACAAAAAGGTAACATAAAACATTCATAGTTTCGAATTTAGAGAAACATGTATTTTATCAGCCATATTTGTGATGGTAAGAAAACGCCGGATAATTTGGCATGAAATGACCGAAATGTTAGTTTCGAATCAGCGCCTGTATGTGTTTTTACTTCGTCGTCAGCTCGTGTGTGCTGTTCAACCAAGATATTCGAAGAGGACTCTCACCAGTACAACCTTCTTTGTTTGTTTCAGAACTGCTGCGCTACTTTTTAGCTTTGGTAAAAATTTCCCCGCTTAATAAATAGTGTATACATAGCGAATATTTGCGGTGAACGTTGTTGCAATGTGACTAGCTGCAAAGCCGATCATTTGTAGATATTGCTAGCCTCAGTCTTTGTAATAGGTTTGTGTGAACTTCAGCAACGTCCCGTCCATGACGGGATAACGTCAGGGCAGTCTTTTTTCACCCCAACAGTTTCGTGTCAAAACTAAAGTGATTCATTCATTCATTCATTCATTCATTCACAAAACTTTATTTGTGTCCTGAAGCCAGGTCTTTTCAGACCGAGGCGTGCCGCGTCCACGTCGGTACCGTGAGGCCGAACCTTGTGGCGTCATCGTGGACCTTCTGGACTGCCCGTAGTTGGTCTTGATAAGACGCGCTTCGCACCATCGCCTGCCAGTAAAGCCATTGTTCTTCGGGGTCGGTGAGAGTCGCGGGACAGCCCGCCAGCATGTGTCTGATCCCAATGATGCCATCGCACGCGTCACACTTGTCTTGAATTTCGCTGTCAGGGAGAATTTTATGTATGGCCTGTTTCTCACAAAGCCCTGAACTTGGTCACTGAATTTGCAGAAGCTACAATGAGAATATAAGCAGTGTCCTCTGCACGAACGTCAGAAACTTGTGTGGTCAAAGCACTGCTATTCAGATAACGGAACTAGTCTGACTGAGTAACGCTATGGGACCGATTGAAACGCGTTAATTTCACAACTCATATTTTTTAATTAAAATGATTCTTGGTGGAATAAAAGGTAGAGATCAAATTCTTTCTTTCCGTATAATAAGGAATGAACACTACAGAATATTTGATGAGGTCTACTTAAGTTGGGAAAAATATTCGGTTGTAGCAGTCCACTGTAAATGTCATTCACTGTGCTACAAAAACTGCCGAGTTACCTTACCGTACCCCAGCTAAGGGTCATAGGACCAAAGGATGAGAAGTTTCAAGGAGTTTTACATATTCGAGTTATGTGGAAAGGTGTTCCTGCGGAGTGCTTTCTTTATGTTGAAAATGTTCGACAGGGGACAAGAAATGGTTCTCTGTTCCATCTTCTGCTCGACAAGAACAAAGCAGGGAGCGTAGAAAGCCACGTTTGGGGGAGAAAATATTTTATGATGCTTTTTGACAGCGTAACTTGGCGATCACAACTCCATGGTGTACTATGGCATGATGTTGTTTTCGAGCCTATCAAGATTAGCCCAATGTCCAGGCCCTCTCCTACAGACTGTACAGAGAAAATTAATGAACAGCTGTACATATATCATTGTTTAATGGAAAGGGGGAAATGAGCAGGAGGATTCTGGAGTGGATGAGAGAGCATAAGAGACTGTACACAGAATGCTTGCGTCCTCATTCACTTCAGAAATATAGCCACCTCCTAAAAGCTGATGGATGGCGCATCGTAATAACCAGTCCATCTTACGATGCTTCCTCTAATGCATCATCTGTTCGCTTTATAAATATGCATCTGTGCGCTTTCAGTTATCCCCAAACTGACGTTTACCTTTTTGACGCGGTAGTGTTAAAGATAACCTTTTGCGAAAATCCTGGTGTCAGCGTCGGTGTCGGCGTCATTGTTTCTGAGTGAGAAATTATCGCCTTGGTAATGACCAGAAAATTGCAAAAAAAAAAAGATGAATATATTATGAATAATAGAAAATACTTTGGTCCGAGGAAGCGTTGAACTGGGGCCGTCTGCGTGGTAAACAAGCATGCCACAAAGCCACAATATAGCTCGAAACTTATTCAGAGCAAAACACAATATGAATGTCATGTATAGCGAAAAAAAGTCGCCGCAACGCACGGAATATTGCGTAGCGGAAGCGCAGAATCGCGTCAGGCGTCAAAAGATGGCAACTCTCCAAAAAGTAGTTTTAAAAGCCCATTGATTACAAATCACTGATGCATGCGTGTTGTCTTAGAGACACGTATTGGGCCCTTCGATGGTTCGCAAAAGGAACAATTATGGCGTAGTGGCACTTAACACATGCACTTGCAGTATACCTTCTAAGACCGTTTGAAACGGCCAATCTTACGTGAACAGTTGTTCTTCTGATTGAGGCCTGTATCGAGAATGGGAGCCGTGCTAGCAATTTAGAATGTGATAAGCATGGAACCCGATACACTGCCGACTAATACTCTTGAAGATGAAGCTCAAGCGCCCTCCGAAATTTTGTCTTCTGTAGAGATACTAAACTCTAAAAAAAGAGCGAGTGAAAAGGGTGTATTTTTGTCCCACAACAATAATCGTCATCTATACTGCGTTCCATCCTTGCGTTATCGCCCCGCGCCCGGACAATTCCGGTCACGGTCGACATGTCCATTATCAGGGTTACATTGTGTTCTCGATAGGAAAGTGGCCAGCGCCGAGTTTTCAAGGAAGGAAGCGCACGCAAGCCTGATAATGATTATTGTTGTGGGACAAAAAGACACCTTTTTTACTCGATATTTTTTTAGAGTGTATAGGAAAATTATTGGCTTGGTGGTTTGGCTCGGCTTGGCCCTATGTGGGACTAGCCAGGTGATGCGCGGTCTAGCCTGCGTCGTCTCTGGACCCAGATAAGATTTTCATCTTCAACGTCATCATCATACACTTAATAATAGTGGGGATAAGTCAAACCAGCCGGGTAGGCATTATTGATATCTTATTCGGAGCACTAATTCGGCACGCGGCATGCAAAATTGAACTAGGCATACGTACGTCGGCCTCCGGCCTTTAACCCACGGCGCAATTCCATGTGATTCACGTCCAAGCTAAGAAATACCACCAGCATCGCTCCGTGGCCAGCGATGTCTTCGTACGGATCGTGCGGCTCCTACAGACCTCAGACGCCAAGAGCCGACGTCAACTACCTGCGCGATATCTTCAACAAGGTCGACAAGGATCGCAGTGGGCGCGTAGACGCGGTCGAGTTGCAGCAATGTCTCTCCAACGGCACCTGGAAGCCCTTCAATCCTGAAACAGTGCGCATGATGATCAACATCTTCGACCGCAGCCGCACGGGCATGCTGAGCTTCGACGACATCGTGTCCCTTTGGAACTACATCAACGACTGGCTTCGGTGCTTCCAGGACTACGACAAGGACCGCTCGGGTTCCATCGACAAAAACGAGCTTCGCGACGCGCTCAGAAGCTTCGGTTACCGTCTGAGCGACGGCACGATCAATCTCCTGCTCATGAAATACGACCGTGAGAGGAAAGGATCAATCACCTTCGACGACTACATCCTGTGTTGCGTCACTCTTCAGACGTTCACCAGCGCCTTCAAGAGTTACGACACCGACATGGACGGTTACATCACTATAAGCTACGAAAACTTTCTAAAACTCGGACTCAGTGTTTTTATGCCATAAACTTAGAACCCTCTGACTCGTAACGTGCTCGAAATTTTAATCGGATTTTTTATAAACCGATAGTTTTTACGAAAACTCATGCAGACAAAGCCATATATTGGAGCGTTGTGGTGTTCGGAAGATTCTTGCCGCCTGCCACAGATATGTTGCCCACTATGAGAACTTTCTGTTGGCTTGAAGTTATGCCTTAACGTTTACTAAAATGCCGTAAATGTGATGACAATGTTCTTTTTGATCTCCCCAGGGATAGCATACCCATTAAACCTGTTTTAAATTAAAAATTCTCTATACTATGAACTATACAAATGTGCATACTGCGCCAGCCTCTGGACATTTTGGGATCTTAAAGTGGACTTTAGCGCAATAATTAGAGACAATACAAAAACCACGCGAACATAGTGGTAATGCTTTTTGTGGTCCATTTTTCCCCGTTTTTTTTTGCGCTAAAGTCTACTCTGATACTGAACTATTTCACCTAGCAGGCCAGCCTTCCGAATTTTTTCGTGGGGAGCGTTAGGAGGCATTTTCGCATTTGAGAGTTAACCGCATATTCTCCACTTTTTACACACAAGTAAATCTTCATTGACATCAATCTGCTTCGCGTGTTTTTGTTCCGCAGCATGTTTCGGCAACATGCACCACTATGTTCATCATAACCACCAGAATTCTAATTTTTCTCCTTGCGTCTATATCAGGGCCAAAACCAATCCCGTAATTCGTCAATCGACCCGATGCTCTTCTGTTGCGGTCAGTTTATCCCCGTCAACTTTTCAATATTGACCACCGGGTCAGCAGCCGAGCATCAAAACGACAGCTCCATTGCGTCGAACATCGGTGGCTAATAGTCGCTCGAATGTTGGCAACTTGTTATAGGGGGATGGATAGCAAAAGCAGGTGTGCAACTACTACTGGGCATCGCTGTTATTTTTCAAGCAAGCTCCACAGCATTTTGCGAATTGCTTGAATTAAGATTTTACTAGATGTTTTGCGAATAGGGCATGCAAATATAAAGTCATCTTAAAAATGTTGAAAAATCAAACATTGTACAGTATTAATTGTTTAATAAATATTTGTGAAAAACATTTTACTTGCCAGTAGAATGGTGAAATCTCTTCTTGTTATTTCACGTGCCCAGGAAACAGTGTAATATACAAATAACACCGTGGCCAAGGGTATCCGCCGGAACAAATACAATTACAGGCATGACCATCTTTCAATTAAAAATTTAGACGTGTAATAATTAGAGTTTCAGGGCTTCTTTCTTCAGAATAACTTTCGCAAAAATACAATCTTGGTCACAAGGCTATTATCTTTCTTCAGTAACGGCGCATGTTACGTAAAAAAATAACAAAAGTTTAAACTTGAAAGCTGCAGTGCATACATATAAATTGTTCCTCTCCTGGCGAACAGTAGTGTTTGAAGAAGGTGCCACGTAAAGTTCGAGCTGTCGCAGTGCGGTCACGGAATCAGGCGCATTTGAGGCCATCTTTAAATGCTTTCCACTGCGCGTAATATCGCGCCACTTCGTGGAAGCGCTTGTCAGTAATGCTGAAACGTCATACTATGAAAATTGAAAAATCGCATTTTTTGTCGATTTCGCACTCCATCTCTTAAAGCGTGCTGTCAGGATAGCTGATAGGGTTCATGATTAGCGACCGAAGTTTGAGAAAATGCTCATTTCGTTCCTTGTGTTTTTATTACCCCCCTTTCATCACAAATTAAAGGTTAAAATGGGCACAAAGTAGAGGTTGCAAGTTATGAACACGTATAGAGGTTCAAATTGCCTTTTATAGAGCTTTGATGATGCCTAAAGAGTTTTATATTTTTACCCTTGCGCCTAAATGCTTGGAAGCGCACATAAATTCCTAATTTGTAAATAAACGCCTACATATACTCTATTGAACCCCAAATTTTGCTTTTGAGGACAGTTTAATTGAGACCACTATTTACACTACTGCGCAAACCATACTGTTGGAAACTCCGGGGTTTCAACTTAGTCTTACACTCCGGTAACTTAGGTTAGATTCGAAAAAACATAACTGAGGCTGATTTGAATTCAAAACACACACGCATCATTTATATATATATATATATATATATATATATATATATATATATATATATATATATATATATATATATGTTCTACACTTGAAGGGGAAGTTGAAGCGCCCTCCAAATTTTGTTTGTAATCTACATCTTAAGGTGCTCCTTGATTGGGTAGAAACTTACCCTGCGTGATTAGACTCGGCCAACACGAGATTTCTCACCCTTCAGGTCTTGTAGCAGTGTGGCTATCTGCTCCTGTGCTGCCCTCCTCAATAATACGAACGAGAGACCCAAGAAATCCCGGCTGTGGCGGCTGCATTTCCGATGGAGGCGGAAATGTTGTAGGCCCGTGTACTCAGGTTTGGGTGCACGTTAAAGAACCCCAGGTGGTCTAAATTTCTAGAGCCCTCCACTACGGCGTCTCTCATAATCATATGGTGGTTTTGGGACGTTAAACCCCACAAATCAATCAATCAGAGACCCTAGAGAGTGTTGATTTGACAGTGGACACTTCGAACACCGCGCTAGAAATTACAGAGAAAAATCAGGTTGATACCTCTTCTTGGAACTGGTATAACACGATAGTGAAACGGGCCTTCACAAAGGTAGTTGAGCATTCATTGTGCATTAATTCGCCACAAGAACGAAGGAATTAATGGTACAGCAACAAATTGCAATATCACGCGAAGAACTACAAGCCTGCAGCTCAAAACTTCAAGCACACACCTCAAGCAGAAAGCACACACGAATTGAGCATAAACAGGGCGTGTGCGGACTAGCAATTGTCACAGCTTGACACTGAAAGCGCGCTATTCAAACAGAATTACTCACGAAACGAACACCCAAGTATGCACAGGACAACGCGAGCAACTGCCACAATTCTTACTTCTTCCTGTATAGGAAGCGTGCTACTTTCGTCAACGCGGACGCGGCAGCGAGTGAAGTGGCCTTCGCACTCTCCCGAATGACGAGTCTCATAAGCACGTGTTCAGGAGAGACCACTCGCCGTGCAAGCAGCAGAAATAGAAACGCTAAACGCGATGACCCTGAGAACACATCCAACGCGAGACCTTCGCGGCATCTGGCTACTGATGGCAAAAACGCGTGAGGTTACGAAACTCTGAGGACCATTAAAGAGTATATGTTGTATATAAGTGGCTTGCCCTTAGCTTTCTTGACCAAATATGTTTCGTGGCGTAGTGGTCAGCGTCACGCGCTTAAGATAAAGTGTGGTCACTGGTTTGACGCCACCCTGCATATCCTATACTGCTCGTTTTTTTTTTTTCGCAATCTGTTGAAATATAATATACAACGTCATACCCGTGACGGAAATACGTCCGTCGGCCACGGTGGCAACCCGGCACAAAACACTTTCGTGTTAAAAACTTGGAGAACGCTTGAACTCTGCTCACAAAACGAACCCTGCTCACATCACCTATACACAATCGCTTGCATCACTCCACTTCTCGGTAAACACCTGAACCGTGCCGCAAGAAACAGAGTTCGTACACTTATAAATTGGCCTTTTAAATGTATTCTTGTAACCTGAAAAAACAAACAAATAACGAGTGCCGACCAAAAGTAAAAGGTTTAAAGGGCTCCTAAACGACGAACCGACGCTCGCTTGATGCTCTCCGTGACGTTCCTTTATTGACATCAGCCATGATGACGTCACCGGCAAGATTAGGTGACGTCGCAAGCAACAGACGGGGTTAATGGGCGAATGAGAGCCTGCTTTCTGCTAGCAGAAGTGCGCACTTTTTGCGTCTTCACCTCGGACGCAGAGGAACGCCACTCGGAGAGATGGACAGGCGAGCGGGCGAACGAAACCTAGCGAAGGAAAGAGTGAAACGAGCAAACGCGTGGAATTTCGCCAGCGTTCCTCGTAGGCTCGTGTACAACTGGAACACCACAACGACATTTCTGCCTCTGGTCAGTTTAGGGACCCTTTAATACAATAAAAATGACGTTTTGTCTGCTGTATGGTAGCTGAAACGTAACTTTTATTCTTTTAACCTTTTAGGGGCGTAGCTCCTTCTAGAGGCACCCGTTTGTCCCTCTTAGCCGTTGTAGTAGTGTGTAACCAGTCTTACCTTTTGACCTCCAAGGTGGTGCTGGTGACAGATTTCTTCTGTGCGTTGTTCAAAAATAAAAAATTGGCAGCGTGCGCGTTCACTAAAAGCCGCATTCTCCTGTCTCTCATTCCCCATTATCAGCCATTGGCATGTACAGTGAGCACTATCTGACAAGAAAGGATTGCTACGTTATACTCCCTGGGCATAACCTCCTTGGTTTTAAAAAGGTTTAGCGAGCGTTGGGCCGCAGTGCCATGAATACAGTGAACTAGTTATACCGTGAACTCGAGCTGGTTAAAGGTGGGAAGTAGACCCGAAGTGCAAGCCGTAAGAAAGTGTGCGTGTGCCGCCTCTCATTTATTCCTTGGAATGTCCGCTGGATGGTGCCTATGCGGAATAAATGATGAAAAGATGCGAGATGTTGGTACTTGGAGTGGTGAATAGATGTACGAACGAACAGATGCATGGACAGACGCGCCGTATAGCTGCACAGAAGGATGGACGCATGGATGGACACAGGGGCGGATGCATGGATGAACGCAGGGACGGACGCACAGATGGACGTTGGACGCACGAACAGACGCACGCACGGACGGGCAAATGGACGCACGGATGGTCACACAGACGGACGCATGGACGGACGGACGCAAGAATGAATAGACGGACGGATGCTTCGCCCCACTCTCCATTATTCACTACGTGGATATGCTGCCATTTTTTATTTTGGTCGGCGCTCATTCATTTCGTTGGTTATTCAGGCTTATTCCCGATCAGATAACCACTTGTCAAACCATCGACCTCATCTTTGAAAATCTATTGTAAGTACAGTTGGAAAGTACCGATTACGACATAACGCATCCTTTTGCGAGCCGACAAAGCGCCCATCACGTGTTCGTAAGACAGCAAGCGTAACTACGCAACAATGGCACACGTTGCTGATACGGTTATTGATAGTTGAAAATAGTTATGCCTGCGTGTTTTGTAATTAGTAGGCCTTTAATGAAACAACCCGCTGCGAAATTGACATGTTCTGACGGTTGGTATAATTCTGCGCTTCTGCCACTGAAGATAACATGTGTTAATGACCCCTCCTTTCCCTACATAACATTCATATTGTTTGTTTGTTTTTTTTCGTTCAGAAATATTGAGCTCAGACGTGGATATGTGACAGAAAACTTGCTTTCCACGCAGACGTCCTGGGTTAAATTCCCTCTTGAACAAAATATGTTTCACCGCTTTATTTCAGTCTATTCAGAATTATCACTCACGGACAACGCTGAGACGAACCCTGGCAAAACGAGCTCTTTTACGGCATTGCTATAGTGGAGAGATCGCATTCTGCGAATTGCGCCTGAAGAAGGACAATCGCATGGCTATGTTGAACTATTGGCTCCTTTGTGCTACCATAAAAAATTGAAAAAAAAATCGTCAGAACGTGGGACGCGAAGCTCACCATCGCGGACCTGCAGACGAACAACTCGTCGCCAGGGCCAAGAAGGCAGTAGAAGCATAGAGAAAGAAGAAGCCAGGGGGTTCCTGGACTAAGGTGGAGCCCTCCCACCTCAGGGTGACACCGGGCATGGCTCGGGGCACTGTTTCGAAAATAAACGTTTACTTCTCTTTCTCTGGCTGTTCTGTCACAGATAAATGAGGCGCACAGTTTCATTTTGCAAATCGCATAGATGTCAATACTTACTATGTCTAAGATTACGGACATTTGAGGCTTGAAGCGTCTTTTGCCTGCCTATTGCCGCGCTTCAAGGTGCTTTCAAAATACCAAAAAAATTGGCCTTTGTGAATTAATACAGTAAGCTTCAACAACGCAACTAAATACGCTGTTTAGTCTCCTTGTGATAATGAACCTGATACTTGATATTTACGACGTTAAGAACGGTTCAACAAATTTAAAGAAAATGTTGCTTTAGCATCAAATAATAAGAACTACCCGACAATGGTGCCCAAGAAAATATAGGGTATGTTATTAGCAGTAATTTTAACATAACTCTGAATGAAAAGAGGTTGAAGAAAAAATGCCCTGCGGCAAGTTATTTTTTCGTTCACTTTTCTTGCTTCACATATATATTACAATTACCTCTAATAAAATCCCCTATATCTTTCTTCCTGTTTGTTTTCAATATAATGTCTAACAAAGGAAACGAGTCCTTGAATTTAAGCTTATTCTCTTCAGTTGGCGTCCCTTGAATAATATATACGAAATTTAAATTAGTTATGGATGGCCAATAGTTGACAAAATGTTGTAACGTATTAAGGTACGCTGGCTGGCTAGCCGTAGTTGTTTTATGATCATAATAAACTTGAACACTCCGATTAAGCACGGTGCTCAGACTTATATTAATAAGCTTGATAACCGGAATTCTGGACGTTTAAAATGCCGTAACAACTTTCAATTGACCGTCGGTGTGGGTTCTATCAACTTTCGCTAGTATCATAATATCTGAAGTTTTACATCTTAAACATTTCACATGAAAATGAGAGAACGTTGTGGAAGGCTCCGGAAATATTGGCCTTCTGGTGTTCTCTATAGCGTCCTAATATCACACAGGACACGGATCTCTGGTATTCAATTCGCCTCCCCAGAATTGCGACTGCCGTAAGTGGGGCTGAACCCGCGAACTTCGGGCCTGCAACCAAGCATCTTAGCCTCTTCACCGGTGCGGTGGACACACCGTAAGCTTCGCGTTGTGGTGTGTAAACATCTGGGCATCTACAAACCATGTCTTACTGAGCAACACTGGAGTAGTCAAACAGCGCTGCAGTTTCTTCCTTTCAACGTCTAGGCGTACAATTTTGTAGAAAGTATACGCTTCTGCATTCTTTTCATATTCTTTGCCTGGCACACCATCATCGTTAGGGGCGGCGCCAAGTAGCGATTTTTTCGGCACTACACCAACGCTGCTGGGCGTAAGCAGCTCTGGAACGTGCAGATCGTGGCTTGTTGGAACGTGGTTTGAGCTGTTATACCGTGGAATATTGGTAAAATATATAGATACAAATAGGTGCCCCCTGTAGTCGTCAATCGGTATCAATTCCTCAAACGCTATCGTGTGAAAACCATGACAAACACCTATTACCATTCCAAACACCCTGCGGCTCAAAGGTTACTCACCGAACGAAAAGATCGAAGCCTTGTCAGCTCATACCACTCACAGAGGCAAGAAAACAAACTAAAAGACGTCACAGTGACGTCACTCAGCTAGCACCTGCTACAATCAAAAGTTCAAAAAGCTCACGTTTAGCAAGATTTGCCAGCAAGAAAGCAATAGAAAAGTAAGACGCATAGTTTTCAAGTTTTTCGCTGCTCCCATCGGCAGTACGTTGATCTTGCCATGAAAGCACCATTTCTTCGAACACGGCGGCGCTTTATACCAGTGCAGGCGCTACCGTTTCTTATCATTGTGTGCATCCTCTATTTCCTATATCAGCTTGTGCTACCCTCTTCATCAACAATATGTGGCGATCATAATAGAGAAGTATCGTTTCAATACCTGACGAAAGTAAAATTTTGTGAACGAACTGCCAACCGAACCACCATACTTATAGGCGTTGTTTCGAGCGCTGACAACTTCGAGAGCCGAGCGGCGATACGGGATACCTGGGGAAGAACGGCCCTCAAGATGGGCTTCGTCGTAGTTTTTCTGTTGGGAGCGACACCGTACCAGGAAGTACAGAGGAAGGCGTCGGCAGAACACGACATTCACGGCGACGTTGTCCAAGTTGACATCGTCGACAGCTACGAGAACGTTACTTACAAGAGTGTGATGCTGCTCCGCTGGGCCCGAGAAAAGTGCTCAAATACTGACTTTGTGCTTAAGATAGACGACGACGTGCTGCTCAGTGTGTGGGACCTCGCTGTCGTAGCGAACAGTTTGGGAGGAATCAAGCGCTCAATGTGGGGTTATCTGTATTGCGGCTTCCGACCCCATCGGAACGTAGCTTCCAAGTTGTACGTGTTTAGGGATAAATACGGGCCAGATACGTATCCGGACTTCCTCTCGGGCACGGGATATCTGATTTCGAGTGACGCCATCTCCGCACTAGAGGACGTTACTCACGACGAGTGCTTCTTTACTCTCGAAGACATTTACATGACCGGTATCGTCGCGGAAAGAGCGCAAGTAAGTCGTTTAGCGTTGGCTGGCTTCTCCTACAAACACGAACAATACGTACAACCATGTTCCGAACCCAGAGTCGTGACGTCTCACGGTTGGAGTCCAGCGATGTTAAGGAGTCGATGGAGACGCGCTGTCAACATCTTGAACTTCACACTGTGCCTTGGAATACAACCCAACCAGATGGTATTCTAAGCCTACATAAACATAATGACCATTTGATATTTTTGCTGAGCTTTTGTTATTGGCGTTCCCCAAGGCTGATTTGCCACTCGTCCCCACGGCTACACCAGCGGCCGCTGCAAGCTCTTGCAGCAGCCAGGGTAACCCAGCAGCTAAGGAGGTCCCCTCGACCTCTGGACCAATATACGAAAGGCCGATTGGACCCATTGGAGTGAATCATGCTTCATTTGTGCCGTTGTAAAACGTTTACTGGTGAGAACTCTAAAGTAACTGACCGCATTTCTACTGGGTATGTTATAATAAGAGCGCTGATCTAGGGACAGATATACCAAATGTTTACGGAGCAAACCGAGAATAATTATGCGTTACGCGAATCGAAGCAAATACCAAGCGTCCTCAAACTTTTTTTTACAAGTGTTATTGATAACATTTCCTGTTGTTTTTATCAGGGTCAACCACCGGCACATAAACTATAGATTTTCATTTTTTGTTTGATCTACAATAACTTATTGCCACCCACGTTAACTATCGCCCTTGCAGTTGACCACACCCCTCGCAACCTGCGTGTGTACAGAAGTTTGCCATACAAGTCTCCGGTATACACAGACGGCACTGAAAAAAGGGCACATCTCATTAAACGCTGATCGTTTATTTTGACATTAGGATCAATTTTCTCATGGTGCACTTGCTGACATTGACGCTATCGTGACGTCAGGCTACAGTATCAATTCTGGCGACTGCGCCGGCAGAATGCGCCGGCATAGCTCTTCTAGATAACGCCAGACACCAAGACATTCAAAATGGCCCCTCGCACGAGCGTCACCAACGGATAGTTAGTTAGTTATGTTGGGTTTAGTGGCGCAAAAGCAACTAAGGCTATGCTGCGCCAGCCACATGGTGAAAAAAGGAGAGAAAAAAGAGCAAAAGAAAACGTCACTAGTTAGCTCGGCATACATTGTGCTGTGAAAGTCTGATTGAAAAACTATTTTCTCTGAGGGAGTAAATCCGTCAGTCAGGGGAAAATGTGCTTCGTCGTCCAGGTGATTTTTCCTTTACAATGGTCATGACTATGAATGCGCGGTTGACGATGACTAATGGAATAAAATGAATAATGTTGTGCGGCTGTATAGAGACCTAAAACCAATCGCGTAATGTGTATACTTTTAAAATTATGGACATGGTACATGGCGTGGTCAATGGGTATGGTATGTGCGTGAGGTGATTTTGTCAAAAAATGTGAGGGGATCGCTCCAGCACTCCCGCCTCACCTGTGTCCTTGTGCGCAAGGACCAGGAGGTAAGTGCTGTGTTCAAAAGAAGCTGTCACAGCACTGACCTCTCGCAAGAGGCCGTGCTGTGGCCACACAGGTTCGTGAATCTTGCAGATCTGTACCGTACAAATACGATGGCGTGCTTCTTATAACTTATTTAGAAATTTGGTGTCATCCAGGAAGTTGACAACGTCAGTTAGGGGTATCAGCGCGTCATCTCCTAGAAGGAACATGGGGTGACGTGGAATGCGTAACTTGTACAAGGTGTAAAAATGTTTTCTTCGATGTGCTTCCAAATGTGCGCATGTAAGCAAGATGTGCAACACTGTTAGAGGTTCATCGCATTTATCACATGTTGGCTGTTTTTCTTGTTTTAACAAGTAATTATGAGTGATGTGCGTGTGACCAATTCGAAGACGGCACAGGATTACTTCGATAAAACGTTCTTGGTGGTAACATGACTTCCATTCATTTAGGAATGGCTTGATTAGTTGAAGTTTGTTGTTGCCTGTCATATTCCATTCCCGTTGCCATTTAGATGTTAGCGCTGTACGGATTGCGCGGATACTATCCCTAACGGGAACATTTACTTGCGAGATACTTAAGTTCTTTGCTGCTGCTGCGCACTGATCTGCCCTTTCATTTCCGGGTATCCCGACGTGACTTGGGACCCAGCAGAACCGGATATTTTGTCCTTCACTTAGACGCGATAATACGCTTAAAATGTCGCCGATGAAGGGTTCGTATTGAGAGCGTATATGGAGGGCCTTCAATGCACTCAAGGAATCCGTAAAAAGTATTGCTTTCTTGTATCTAGCACTTTCAATTCTTTTTACTGCCATCCACAAGGCATAACATTCAGCAGTAAAAACTGAAACAAACCGTGGTAATCTGACTGTTTCTTCCCACGCACCTTGGACTACACTGCTACTGACATAACTAGCCGTTTTGGAGCCATCAGTGTAAAATTCTTTGTATGTGCTGTACCTTTCTTGAACGATGCGAAATTCTTGCAATATGTGTTCACGTGGTGTACCTTGTTTTTTGAGATGTGTCAATGAGAGGTCAAGAAATTGCGTAAAGTTTTTCCAGGGAGGCAGCCTTCTTGGCCTTTTGGTAACAGAAAGGGCATCTGTAGGGACGTTACACTCGCGACATTTTTCTTCGAATCTGAGTATAAGTGGCCTTATTGCGTTTGGTTTGTTTGTGTAATGGAGTCGTTTGTCACAGTGTGTGATAATGTTGTAGCATATATGGTTTGGCGATGAGCGAACTCTTAGGACATATGTAAGCATTAGCTGCGTTCGTCTGCTGTCCAGTGCCGGTTCGTTACTCTCGGAGTACAAGCTGGGAAGCGGCGAGGTCCGGTATGCACCGGTTGCCAAGCGTATCCCTTTGTTATGTACGGGGTCGAGTCTCTTGAGGTAGGATTGTCTCGCTGAACCGTAAACTACACTTCCATAATCTAATTTGCTGCGCACCAATGAACGATATATGTGCAGAAGGCACTTACGGTCAGCGCCCCACCGCTTCCGCGACAGAACTTTGAGGACATTGAGTGCCCTAGTCGCTTTAATTTTTAGACTGGTAATGTGTGATAGAAAGTTAAGTTTCTTGTCAAATATGACTCCTAGAAACTTGTGCTCTTGTTTAACTGGTAGGACTGTTGCATTCAGTTCAAGAATTGGGTCCGGCTGCAAGCCTCTTTTCTGAGAATACACTACGGCAACTGTCTTTTCCCCGGAGAAACAGAAGCCGTTTTTCTCCGCCCATTGTGTTAGTTTGTTCAACGTGATTTGAGTCTGTCGTTGACATGTCACCATGTTAGACGCGCGGCACGCAATCTGGAGGTCATCAACGTACAGAGAATGCATCAGTGTGGATGGTATAACTTTGTTTACAGAGTTCATTTTCACAACAAAAAGTGTAGTGCTCAGAACGCACCCCTGAGGTACACCGTTTTCTTGAGTAAATACACGAGAGAGTGTCACGCCAAGGCGGACCTGGAAGGTTCGGTTGGACAAGAAGTCGGAGAGACAGTTAAGCATTCTGCCGCGGATTCCCAGATCCGCCAAGTCTCGTAAAATACCATACCTCCAAGTGGTGTCGTAGGCTTTTTGAAGATCAAAAAAGACTGCTAGGCAGTGTTGTTTGTGTAAGAAAGCTTCTCGTATTGTGTTTTCCAGCCGAACTAGGTGGTCAATTGTTGAACAACCTTTTTTGTACCCACATTGGTGGATATCTAGTGAGTTTTCTGTTTCGAGGACGTACGTAAGCCTGATGTTAATGACACTCTCGTAAGTTTTTGCAAGACAACTTGTAAGTGCGATTGGCCTATAGCTGTTTGCTAATGTAGAATCTTTTCCCGTTTTTAGGAATGGGATTATAATGGCCTTCTTCCAATCCGTGGGCATTCGACCAGTTTGCCAAATAACGTTGAAGAAAAACAGAAGGGCCTCGACTGTTTTTGGCGACAGGTGGGCGAGCATTGCATAGTGTATTGTGTCAGGACCAGGCGCTGTTTTTTTACCTGTGGAAAGTACTGTGTTCAGTTCATGGATGGTTAAAGGCGCATTGTATGGCAAGTCTAAGAAACCTGCTGTAGGAAGCTTTTGTTTTTCTATAGATTGCTTGTGCCTTAGGAACGTTTCTGAATAGTTTGCTGAGCTAGATATGTTGTAAAAGTGAAGCCCTAATAGGTCTGCCTGTTCCTGTAGGGATGTCTGAGTACCTGTTGTTGAAAGAAAGGGGATGGTATAGGCAGCGTAGTTGCCATTAACTTGCGAACCTGATCCCACATTCTTTTGGATGTGACCGAGCTGTTTATGGATGAAACGTAGTTTTGCCAGGAGATTTTCTCGGCTTGCCTACGAACATATCTAGCTTTCGCTTTCGCCTTTTTGAAGGAGATGAGGTTATCGTACGTCGGGTACCTCCGGAAGATACCCCAGGCTTTATTTTGGAGTTTTTTGGCTTCTGTACATTCGTGCGTCCACCAGGGCTTCAAATTCTTTTTTAAGCAACCAGAAGACTGAGGGATAGCTCTCTTTGCTGCCGCGATTATACACGTTGTAATCCTTTGATTCATTTCATCTACGCTCAGATTATCTAGACTCTCTTTATCCAGACTGGCTTGATCGGTAAAGAGAGCCCAGTCTGCCAAATGAAGTCGCCAGCGGGGTGGTCTGGAGGGTATGGTAGGAAGTGCTGTGGTTAGACTGATGAGTGCAGGCATGTGGTCACTACCGTATGGATTATCTATTACCTTCCATTTAAAATCTGTGAACAGCGCTGGAGAGCATAGCGCAAGGTCCAGGCAGCTCATAGCTCCTGAACTTGGGGAGCAGTAAGTGGCAGCGCCAGAATTTAAAAGACAAACATCGTTGGCTAAAATAAAATCTTCAAGTGTTTGTCCTCTAGAGTCAACTGTTTTACTACCCCAAAGCGTGTTATGTGCATTAAAATCACCTGCTATCACAAAAGGTTCGGGTAGTTGGTCTAAAATTAATTCTAAATCGCTTACGGTGAATTGCGTGTGCGGTGGAATGTAGAGGGAACAGACGGTGATGGTTTTGTGCGCTACAATGGTAACGGCGGCGGCCTCTATATGACTATTAATATGAATTTCTCTCACTGCTATACCACCTTTAACAACAACAGCCACACCGCCCGACAGTCGGCTTGCCTGCGTACGATCGCGCCGCACAACAGTGAAGCCTTTTAGGATGTTTTGATATCGATCACCTAGGTTGGTTTCCTGAAGGCACAAGGCTACAGGAGAAAAGTCGTGTAGTATTTCCTTTACGTCACCAAAATTGTTTAAAAGCCCTCTACAGTTCCAATGAATTATAAAGCCATGTTGAATGTAAAAGTTTAAAAATCGAAGGACAAGTGAGTAGGATATAGTAGAATGGAGGTGACTTGCTTCTAAAAGAACTAAAAAATGCGAGTTCCAAAATGGTGCAGGTTCA